GCCCCGGTAGGGGCGGCAGAGCGCCATGGAGGCGGCTGGGGTGGCCGTATCCGGTCCCCGCGACTCGGCGAGGTGAGGGGCCGCCTCTTCTCCGCGGCTGAGGAGGCCACAGCTGGGCGCCTGCCTTCCACGCGGGCCGCGGCTCCGGCATGGCCGGGCTCATTAAGAAGCAGATCCTGAAGCACCTGTCCCGGTGAGAGCGCCAGCGCCGGCCCCCAGCGTTTCCGGGCCCCTCCTCACCCTTCCACCCTCCTTTACGCGGTGCGCCGGTCGGGCCTCACTCTCTTCAGCCCGAGCCCGAACTCAGTAGCGATCCCTTCCTCAACTCGAGACGGACAGCCTCCTCCCCGCTCCAGTGGCCTCAACCGTTGTCACCAGTCTGCTCTTCCCTCACCCTGGGCCCTCCGGGACCCGGCTCCCCTGCCCTAGCGCGGGTGCCCCAGGCTCTTCTCTCCATCCTAACAGACCTCCCCGTCCCTCCCGACCCCAAGGGTCTCCTGACCGGCTGCTCCCCCCTTCAGTTACCACACCGGCAAGTAGGTCACCCTGCCCTCCCTTGCTTGTCCCCCGGGCCTTCTGTCCGTCACTCCTTGGCCTTCACGATTTTCACCCTCTCCTGCCCACCCCCTGTGTTTTCTCTCCGCTTTGGACCCGCTGCCCCTACCTCGGAGTCCTCTGTCCGCCTCTTTATCCGCCCACCATCCCCTCCACGGCCTTCCTCTCCCGAGTAGACCCTTCATCCCCGGCCGGTTCTGTGTAACCCTGTGACTCAGTCCTGCATAACCCATTTGACGCCCAGATTTCCAACTCCGACACTGGTTTCTCCTTCCCAGAAGCTCTAAGCTCCTCTTTATCGTCTGGCTGACCCTGTTGCATCACCCTTGAAAAAATCCTTGCACGCACGGCCGTTCCTCCTATCTCCTTTCTCCCTCCTTTGCTTCTCTTCTAGTTAACACAGACTAAATGGAGACAGCTCATGAGAGTTGGGCGTAAAGTTTCAACAACCTTCCCTTTAAGATGCGGAGGTTTTTTGACAGCCTGTGAAAAGAACTAATGACGTCCAGTTATGCTTTGCAGCCATTTATTAAGCAATATTATGGCCCCGAAGTCATCTGGACCAGAACCAGGTGACGGGCAAAACAGTTGCATCGTAACTGGGTGACTGCTTACCCTTATGTTACGATTGTAGATTTTTCAGAACTAGTGTCCACAAACATTGGAAGCTAGCCTTTCAATTCCTTATTCCAGGAGAGGCTTGGTAATGCCTTAATACCTTTAGCTAGCCTTTGTCTCACAAGTGGAGAGTGATCCAGGCCTTGGCTCCACAGTGATCAGAGGTTTTCAGGAGGCCAGAATAGAGGGGCGAAGCCAGTGAACAGGCGACCCAGGCCTTGCACTAATATATCTTCCCTGGTCTTCTCATTGGCTTGGTGAGTGGTATGTGAGACAGTATGGCCGCCACTGCATCCCCTTTTCTGACTGACACTGGCATATTTACTGTTACTTTGATTTTAGATTTTAGTTAGTCAGATTCCATACATCTTTTGGTTAATCACCACACCATGTTTTAAAAGTAAAAGCAAGTTGGAAGCTAGAGCTAAAAGTGCCTTTGGACCTTTTACTTGTGTTAACTCCCTAATATGTTCTTTTTCAGGGAACAGTCATTTGGGTGTTCCATGAGTTTGGTTGTCCTGTGTAAAGACTATAGTGTATGACTAATGATTGTGAAATGAAACAGAAATTTAACTAAAGGAAACCCATTAATTTGAATAAACATAGACTCAGAGAATTTTAGGGTTTAGAGATGATCTCACCTAACATAGCACGGTGTTTAAGCACAGTGCCTAGTATATAGTAAGTGCTCAATAAAACATGAGTTGTGGTTATTTTTGGGGCGCAACTTGTGAGACAATTTGATATAAGCCATAGACTTTGTCAGAAAAATCCACATATGCAAGCAGGTAATTTTTTATGTAAGTTTCTTGGGCCTGGGGATTTACGAACCTTACAGTGTTAAGGCATAAGGCATCCTGGAATTACGTAAGTAACTTCTGATAGTTCAACCCCTCATTTTATGGCTGAAGAAGCTAAAGCTTAGAAGGATAAGTGACTTACCCAAGTTGTAGTGGAAGGTCAGGTAGAGAAATAAAACCCAACTTCCTAATTCTGGTGCACTCTCCCTGGTAGGACACACATAATCTGTGTACTCTCTATGAAGAAAGAATTTTTAAAGAAAAATTTTGATAGTATATACTGACACATTAGTGAATCCTCAGTGAACAGAGTACCTCTTTTAGATGAAGTAGGAATAGTTCTGACAGATGTTGGGAGAAGTTTCTTTCCTCAGGGTTGTGTGGCTGACTGAGGAGGAGAAGGTTATTCAGGGCTGCAGTTTTAAGGCTCCCGGAAGAGATGGTAGGACATGGGTCTGATAAGGGGAAGAGCTTGGTTTAACTTGGAAAAGCTGCCTAATCATGTGTGACATTTGTGTCTCTGTATGGTCTCTTCTACACCAATAGAGGCTGGCCTGTCTGGAGGGGAACTAGCTTCCGTGGCTTGCCAACCCTGATGGGGAAAGAGAGAGAAGAGAAGGTATACTGGGTTACTATGTTAAATGAATAGTTGTAGGTGTTTAATGATTACTTGTTGCTGATGTTGACAATGCCACTTGACTTGGAGGAGCGTCTCACAACATGAAGGCTATCCCAGTGACTTGCATATTATGTTTAATTTTGGTCATGAAGTTTCAGATATTAAAGTGTCTTGTGGTACATCCTGCTTTTTGGTAGAGTATTTTGGTAAACAAGATTTGAAGGAGGTAGTATTCAAGATAGTTTTGTTAAGTGCTTACTCTAGGCCAGGCAGTGATCTGGGCACTGGAGATTCAGCAGGAAAGATGTATAAACGTCTTGTAAGGGCTTTAATCTGTGGTTTGGATGGCTGCTGTAGAATATAAATAACTTCAGTGTACAGAATTCATTTAAATAGACCCAGGAGGAGACCTTTACTTAGAAACAAAAGTAATCATTTAAAAAACTATCCAAAATTGATTTTTCACTGAATTAGATTTTGTTTGAGATCGCCTTAGCTAAAGAATGACCTTTTGTTATACAAGTAAGAAGAAATATGACTGATTGTAAAGTAAGTCAGGGGACCATTGTGGCTTGGGGAAGGAGCATTTTCTCTGGAGTCAGACAAGCTAGATTCACCTTCCAGCTCTGCCATTTAATGAACAGGGCAGCCTTTTTGAGCCTCAGTTTTTTCATCTGTAAAAGATGAGAATAAGGAAGAATACTACATACCTAGCAGATTTTTTTTTTTGAGAATTGAGGATATTCTAGTGCCTAGCATGTAAATAGGGTTTAATAAAGAGTAGCTATTGTAACATGGACAGAGAAGTTTGGGACATTACCATGGTATGGATGACAGCAACCCACCCAATTGGCTCTTTTAGAAACCCATCAAGAAGTCTTAATTATTTACTCTAAGTGGCTGAAGGAAATGTGACCCTGAGTGATGGAGACATGGCTGATGGACATGATAGATTTTTTTAAAAACATGACATTAGGGTAAATTCAGAGGCAAAGAAGATTTCATAGTCCTTTTGGAGAGTAAGAGAGCCTGACTGTGAGCTGAGCCCTCTTAGTTCCTGATGAGTGGCACCGTTCATTATTGTTCATCATCCTGAGGAGATCATCTGGTCCAGCCCCCAGGAGACAGTTGAGAGCTGTAGGCTCATAGAGGCTGACTGCTTGCCCACGGTCTGTTTAGGTGAAGATTTGTAGGTCTAGTCTCAGCTTCCAGGTCATGCCCCTTTACATTTTGCTTAATTTATTATCACTTTTATTTCCCAAATAATTATTTTGCATGTTTTCTAGTAACAGTGAAATCATGTCTGTGTTTCCTTCCTCGTCTTGTGTTGCTTTAAAATAAGTGCTTTTATTTACTTAGCAAATACTTAATAGTAATAGCCAACTGTTATTCACACATTTAACAAGTCTTATGATGATTTAATCCTCAGACTAACCCTGTGAGGGAGTTGTTAGGCCCATTTTATAGATGGAGAAATGAGGCACAGAAAGGTTAAATAACTTGCCCCAAATCATAACTAGTAAGTGATGGGACTGAGATTCAAATGCAGTCACTCCCATTCCAGAGCTGTACTCTTTAATCATTCTGCTTCTATAATGCTTCTCATCGGTTGAATATTCCAAGCTGAACATACCCTTGTCACCAGCACCCAAAGGAAGGAACAGAATATTGCCAGCACCAAATAACCCCTTATGTCTCATTCCAGCATTACCTCCACCAAAGGGTAACCACTGCCTGGATTTCTAACAACAAAGATTAATTTTGTCTTTTTTTTTTGTACTTTATATGAATGGAATCATATAGTATGTATACTTTCATGTCTGGCTTCTTTAGCTCAACATTACTTTTGTGAGATTAATCCCTATTGTTGCATCAGTTTATACATTTCCCATTTTCATTGCTGTATAATATTCTATTATGACTGTACCTCAATTTATTTATACATTTTACTGTTGATGGACATTCGATTAGCTTCCGAATTTAGGGGTATGCTGAAAAGTGCTTTTAGGAACATTTAGTACATATCCTTTGGTGAACAAATGTATACATATCTGTTGGGGATATACGTAAGAGTGGAATTTCTAGGTTGTAGGATGTGTGTATGTTAAATTTTAATAGCTATTGCCAAACAGTTTTCCAAAGTGGCTGTAACCAATTTGCACTTCCACCAGAAGTGGATGAGAGTTCTGGTTGCTCTACATCCTTGCCAACACTTGGTATTTTTCATCTTTTTCATTTTAGCCATTCTGTTGGATATGTTTTGAAAATGTCTTTACTTCATCTTTGGTAAACCAGATGGCCACTTTATTTTTGCCTGTGTTTAATTTTCAAATTCTGGTCTATTTGTAAATTTTAGTCACAAGCAACTGTCAGCCTTGAAAACATAAGCTTTTTTTTGGAGAAATGTTCAAATTAGGCAGGTTCAATGAAAATAATTAGGGTAATTTGTAACCATTAACACATAACATTTCTTACTTGGAATGGATCTGATGTTCTGCTTCCTATCAGAGTAACAGTCATGTACATTAAGAGAAAGGAGAAGCTGTTCTTTAGGAGTTTTTGTTAAATATTTGGTCTTCAGACTATCCTGGATATTAAATAATTTCATTCTGTTTTGTAAACTTGGCACCCCATTAGCATAGCTTTTTATCTTTACTGGAGAAACCAAAATTTGAATTTCGTAGTTTTTGTATTATAATCTTTACACCTTTCCAGGGGTGATTTTCTCTTATCGTAAAATGGTTGTCTTGTGTCTTTAAAAGTAGCATTTATAAGCAATAAAAATTCCAAAGCAATACTGTCATATGTATCTGACATACAAAGCTTATTGTATGGTTCACAAATAATGAAATTAGTTGCTTTGAAAAATCGATTGAGAGACATGTCATTGTACCAGAAAAAAGTATGACTTCAGATTCCAAGAAGTGGCTGTGCGTTTTCTCTCTGCTACATGTGAACTGGTGTGCAGCAAGTCTTTTAGTTTCTCCATGCTTCAGTTTCCTCATCTGTAAAATGTGGGATAATAATGTACACTGTTGTGTTGAGGATTAGAAATAATGTATAAATACTGAAAAATATTCAATAGTGACTATTACTGTTTATCTTTACTTATTAAAGTTGCTCAAGAGAGGTCACTAACTGCCTAACTTATCCAAATGTCTAATTCTTTATTTTATTTTATTTTATTTTTAATTTTTATTTTATTTTTTGGAAGGGTAGGTAATTAGGTTTATTTATTTATCTTAATGGAGGTACTGGGGGTTGAACCCAGGACCTCATGCATGCTAAGAATGCACTCTACCACTGAGCTATACCCTCCCCCAAATGTCTAATTCTTTAGATATTTAAGAATTATATTTTTTAATATTTTAATACAGGAGGTAGAGATGAATGCTCTTTGTATCAATGCTTAAGGAGGGAAAGAAACAAGGGCTGGTCCTGTTTATCAGTTTTTCTTATTGAGGCATATACAGGGTAAACTTTGACCTCAGTATAAGTGAGATAGCAGAGATGCATACACTGAGTTGGGTCCTTGTAGGATTTCCTTATTCATAGTCTAAGATTGCACAATCATATACTGTATTCTCAGAGTGGAAAAAAAAATGAGAGGTCATTTAGTTACCTGGTTGAATAATAATCTGTAAGTATGGCACAAATTACCAGAAAAAAAAAAAAGATTCTTTTTATCACAGCTCAATTCTTTACTCCCACTGGAGTGTGACCTCCATGTGGCAGGGATTATGTCCTTTGGCTACTTTGAAAACCAGAGAGTTTGAGGATGTTTTGAGTTGGTGAGGTGGGTGTAGGAGAAGGTGTGTGGAGTGGGAGTCCATGGTTGTAATTCAGGGAACCTTAGACTAGAGTGGTGGTGGGTAGGAGGTGGTGGGAGCAGAAGGGCAAGGGAATGCAATTCACCCAGTATCGCTAAGGGACCTTTTATCTTTGTGTGATAAAGCAAGTGCTACTGGTACTGTTGATAGATACTGAAGAACACTTCCCAATATTTATAAGCAGTAGAATCAATCAATATCTATAGTAAAGGGAAAAACTCAAGTGTAAAAATAATACACATTAGTAATTTAGGCAAAGGGTTTGTGGTTTGTACCTTCTTGCCACAGAAATAAGGAATAGATTTGTTATAAATTACTTGTTGGATTGAGGTTTTATTTGTCTACAGTAATGATCATTTTGCATGTGTACTCACACTTTATAGTGCATTGGTCATATGTAGCTTGGATGTCAGCCCATCATTTAAAGCATGAGAACATTGATGGTGAGAGGTCAGTGTATTTAAGTCTCTGACTTATGGAAGTGTGATGTTCTCAAAATTTGTTTCTAAGTTTGAAATTTGGAATGTGTGGTCCAGTAGTAGAAATAGTGTTGTGAATGTTGAATGGGTTCCCAGTTAGCCCACAAAAGCCATAGTGGGTTAATTATATATTACATAAGCTCACTGGGTGGAAATCTGGGTGTTGGTTGTTAGGGAACCATTTGAAGGAGGAAGGGAGATGAAAGAGAAGAAGGTTTTTTATTTCTGTTCTTGGAGTAAGGTCTTTTAGATCATTGAAATCATTGTATTTCAGCAAGGACTTTTTCTCTGGTTGTGATTGAAGGGTGTAACCAGCATTTAATGAGTGGGCTGGAGATGCTGAGGTCATGCTGTATGCAGAATAGTTTCACACAAAGGAACATTGTCCTTTGATCCTTTTGACTTCTGAAAGTTTGTTAGATGTTTACAGAGGTGAATTACCTGTTTAGATTATATAAGCCTATTTACATGTAAACACAAAGTATTGCACAGCTTTAAACTACAGTGAATGTTCCAGGACTGCAACATGGGAGGAGATTGTTTTGAACTTTATTTTAGACAATGTTGTCATTCTTGGCAATGCCACTCATAGAGTTGAGTCTGTTAGGGTTGAGAACCACTGACTTAGACTGAAACAGCTGAGGTTTGCTTTTGATATACCCTGTCTTCTCTCCTTTATGTCTCTTTCCCA